GTATCATATGGATAAATTTTTCAAAACATTTAAAAATGAAGGATTTGGAAGCTTATTACCAATTTATTATAAACATTGGTTACATAGTAATCAAATTGTTCATTTATCTGATCATAATAATGCAAGAACAAAACTTACTGGTATAACTCAAGACTGGGGGATGTTAATTGCTGAAGAAGTCGATCGTGATAATAGATCAACAGGAAGCAAATTTCAATTACAACCAGATGGTAATTCATTTGATATGTTTAGAGGATTGATTTCTAAAAAAAGTACAAATTAATGAAAAGGATGATGAGTATAAACGATATAAATAGATCAATTAATTCAAATTTACATTTTGATTCAACACAATTGTATGTTGCTCAGCAAACTCAACATGGACAGTCTTGTTCTTGTTATCAGATATCAAATGCCTTAAAATATGTAAACATACATATAACCATATGAAATAGTATGATTATTGGGATCAAACCTATGAATGAATGATATAGCTCAAGACTTCAGTAATTGATCTACATTTCTAAATATAAACTCAACATTCACAAGTTCAACAAGTTTTCCTATTACTTCGTTGAGTTTCTACTGAATGAATTAGGAATGAATGGCAGTAGTACTAAAACACTAAAGCCACGTTCCAATTTACGTCAAAATCGTATACCATCTTCCTACTTTTAACTGTTATATTGAACTTTCGAGAAGTTTGTTGGATTTTTCATATCGATGATGACAAAGCTCGATCCTGGTTATATGATACATCTTGAATTTTAAATATCCGTGGTTAAATCATTGAAACGATCGAATCTTTATTTTCCGGATATTTTCGATTTTGTTGTGCCGTTGTAAATCGTTCTATGAATCTGAGATCGACAATCCTAAATGTTCTAAAAATACAGATTAAGTTCAAGCAATTACTACTTACTAAGTAGGGTATATTTAGTATCTATGTTCAAGAAAGAACAAATCAAAAGAACCAAGTCCGACTCAAGAATCATCAAGAAGCAAGAGTTGTTCCAGGAAAATGTTCAACATATAAGCCCGATGGAAACCGCCATACTATTACCAAGATTGAGCCCTTTTATTATTATTTTGTACCTCGATCGAGATTCCAAGTTACAAAATTCCACAGATGTCCCTTTCAATACCCAACAGGAGTACTTCGCTATACATAAAGAACGTCATTTGAACTTTGGAAAGGTGAGTTGTGCTTCTCGAAGGGTAAACAGATCAACAATAACCATGTTTATCATCAGAAGTTAGAAGAGCAATTACAATTGAGTATAGTGCTATTTATATCAATGAGAATTAGTATAAATATGTCTTGAGTTCCCTTCTTGTATTAATTCACATCCTACTTTTCAATCATCATCAATTGAATCATACAATTCTAACAACAAAAATGCAATTCTCAACTTTATTAGCTACTGCTGTCGCTTTAACTGGTGCTACCGCTGCTGCCATCCAAAACAGCACCGTCAAATTCACCATTGAATCTCCAAACCAAGATGTTAACAACAAAGGTTTATCATCAATCCATGAAGGCGCTGCTATCAACTACTTCTTTGCTGGTGAAGCTTCAGAAGCTTTCGGTTTCGATACCAAAACTGGTGTCATTTCAAAAACTGTTGAAATTGGTGGTAATCAATCATATGAAGAATTCTTTGGAATTCAACAAGGTGGTAATTTCCAAAGTTTACAAACTTCTCCAACCCAAGATAACACCAAATGGGCTGTTGATAACGGTTATTTAACTGGTAACGGTTCAGACTCATTCTTTGCTGTTAAAGGTACTAATGATCCATACAACTACTCTGAAGAATCATACCAAATTGGTATTGTTGCTCCACATGCACCAAACGTTTATAAGGAAGTCGTTCCAATCAAAATTAAAGCTAACTTACAATAAGTTATTCCAAAAAATTAAATCATAATGAATTGATCATTAATATATATCATTTTCCAAATTTAAAGCTCCAGTATTTGACTAGCTGTTGAAGTTGATCTTCTATTATATTTATATATATTATTATATATGGCTGATTAATATATCATTATAATTAATCAATGCCCACTGTAGATTGATATATAGATCCAGTACTGTTTATATGACCAAATCCCTCTTTTCAAGAATAACGTATTCGATTGACTTAATTTCCGGTCTACAAGAATGCTGGATCTGGTTCTGGTCAGGTCTAAAGTATGGGGTAGATAGCTTTTTTAACTCGTCAAACTGAACCACATATAACCACAGAAATCAATTTCATATAGTACTTACGATGTAAACCTTATTACAAACCCTTTATTTATTTTATTTATATGTTATACATAGTTTATTAATTTACACAGGTAACTGATAATTTTTTTCATTATTAAAATTATAATCACATAATACAAGTACAACTTTTCAATAGCCTTCTCATTTCTTTTCTTCTTCAGGTTCTTTTGGTGAATATGATGGTGAGCCTGGAGAATATTGTGGTGAAGTTGGACTATATTGTGGTGAAGTTGGTGAATATGATGGTGATGTAGGTGAGTATGATGGAGATGTTGGACTGTATGATGGGGATGTAGGTGAGTATGATGGAGATGTTGGACTATAAGATGGTGAAGTTGGAGAATAAGATGGTGATGTTGGACTGTATGATGGAGATGTTGGTGAGTATGATGGGGATGTAGGTGAGTATGATGGGGATGTAGGTGAGTATGATGGTGAAGTTGGACTATATGATGGTGATGTTGGACTGTATGATGGTGATGTAGGTGAGTATGATGGTGATGTTGGACTATAAGATGGTGAGGTTGGTGAATATGATGGTGAAGTAGGTGAGTATGATGGTGATGTTGGACTGTATGATGGGGATGTAGGTGAGTATGATGGTGAGGTTGGACTGTATGATGGTGAGGTTGGTGAATAAGAAGGTGATGTTGGAGCATAGGCTGGTGAAGCAGCAAATCCAGTTGGTGATGTTGGAGCATAACCATAAGGAGATGTTGGATTCAAAGCTGCACCTGGAGATGTTGGGGCATATCCACCATAATCTGTTAAACCACCACTACCACCGTATTCTGTGAAACCACCACCATTGGCATTACCACCAGTACCAGCTTCAATCAAAGGTGAGAAAACAACATCATCTGCTTCAATTTCTGAACTGTGTTGAGGAGTAGAAGAATCATAAGAAGTAGCACCACCGTCGTTTGCTTCTTCTTCTGGTTGGAATTCATCAGTAACAGCAGAAACAGGAATATCTTTCAATGCAGAATCATCAACCATAACATCAAAAGCACCAGTACCAACTGGGGCTAATTGACCCAAAATAACATTTTCAGAAACACCACGACAATCATCTAGTTCAGCAGCAGCACCTGCTTCAAGTAAGATTTCAACAGTTTCTTCGAAAGAACAACGCATTAAAGCACCAGTATCATTTCTGTTAATACCATGACGTGTAACAGCCATTAAATGACCACGTGAAGTCATAACATCAACTAATAAAGCCATATGACGGTAGTTAACATAAGAACCATCAGAAGCAATAACGTTGTAAACTTCTTTGTATAATGAAGCACGACCAGCTTCAATACCAAGAACAGTCAAAATATCAATGAAGGAGTTAGTGTAGATACGAGAAGCATCAACACCTGGAACACACATAACTTCAGCAAGATTAACACCATCTGTTTCAAGAACCCATTCAGGAACTTTAGCATATTTACCAGTTTCATCAGGTAATTTTCTATCATATTTCATCATAACAACACGAGTAATATCTGGAACACCACGTAATGTAATGGCTTCCAGCATATTTGATTCAATACGTTTCAACATTTGATCTTCTTCAGCTTCTGAATCTTCATCCATAGATTTAGGATCACGAACAACACGACAACGGATAATAAGTTTTTCAGCGTTATCTTCAGACCAGATAATGAATAAATCATCACCAAAAGTTTCTTTGATCTTTTCACCAACTTCAGCCATTGTTAAATCTTTATCATTCATTTGTGTACGATCAAGTTCAATACGTAATAACCATGGTGATTGTTTATCAATAGACGCTTCAATTTCTTCATCTGGAATTTCGAAATGTAAGTTAACCATTTCCTCATCTTCTTCAATAACTGTAGAACGAGGTTCTGGATCATAGTAAATTTCAGTAGCAATGGTAACACTCTTCAAAGTAGTATGTTCAATAGCAGATCTAATTTCTTTAGCTCTTTCTTGATCAGCTGCATATTCAGGATCTAAGTAAACAGTCAAAGATGGTGTCTTCATATTCTTAGCAACATTTAAAATTTCTTTTAAACGAGGAACACCTGAAGTAACCTTTTTAGAAGCAACACCCGCAAAATGGAAAGTATTCAATGTCATTTGAGTAGCTGGTTCACCAATGGATTGAGCAGCAACAACACCAACCATTTCACCAGGATGAACAACAGATCTTTGAAATTGTGATTCAATTTGAGCTGTGACCCAGTAGAAAGCAACAGAGGTAAGACGATATTCTTCAATAACACGACGAGTTGTTAAACGTGAACGAACTAAACATTGGAATAATGCAGTGGCATTTTGTTGGGCTTCTGAAACTAATCTATTATCACCACGTAAAACCAAAAGTTTAGAACATAATCTTTGAACTTCTCTAACGATTTCATCCAAAGTAAGGTCACTAGCTTTTGAAGGATCAATATGGAAAATTTGTTGAGCATTTTGAATAATACGACGGATATTAACTGGTAATGGCCAGTTATGTTCACCATCAATGAAAACTTTTCTCAAGAATTGACGATCTTCAACTAATTGTTTATATTCAGTATCCAATACTTCTTGAATTTCAGTATTACCAATGATTTCTTTACCAGATTCTAATAATGATGGTTTAATAGAAGTTTTTGGACTCATTAAATCAACATGGTAACGTTTTTCAAATGCAGCATGTTCACCTGGAATGGTATCAATGGTTTGTTTTTCAACATGACAAGCATCAAGACCATCTTCACCATAGATGAATTGAATAATATTACCCAATGAATTTCTTGTAGTACCATCATAATGAACCATAATATCTTCCAAGGCTTTAACAAGACGACGTTGAATATAACCAGTTTCAGCAGTTTTAACAGCAGTATCAATTAAACCTTCACGACCACCCATAGCGTGGAAATAAAATTCTTGTGGAGTTAAACCTCTTAAATAAGAGTTTTCAACAAAACCTTTAGATTCTGGGGAGTAATCATCTTTGGCAAAATGAGGTAAAGTTCTATCAGCAAAACCGAAAGCAATACGTTTACCTTCAACAGATTGTTGACCAACACAAGCAGACATTTGAGCAATATTAATGAAAGAACCTTTAGAACCTGCACTAACCATTTGTTTAACATTATTTAATGATTTTAAATTAACTTCTGCAGAACGACCAGCTTTATCACGAGCTTCGTTTAAATAACGAATAACATTATCTTCGAAAGATTCTCTTAATGTCATACCATGTTTAGCAGTTAATTTATTTTGTTGAGCTTCTAATGTGACATCATCAACCTTTTCTTTAGCCAAGGCAATAGCATCTGTAATTTCCTTCATTGTTGAAGCATCTGCAATTGTATCACCAATACCAATTGAGAAACCATTATGTAAGAACCAGAAATTAACAACTTTTTGTAAAGAACCAAATAATTCAGAACAAACTTTTGGTCCTTTTTCTCTCATGACTGTATGAATCAACCCACCATTAGTTGCACCAACAGTTTTTTTATCGACAACACCAAACATGATTTGTCCATCAACAACCATCATACCGTTATCATTAGGACTTAATAAAGTTGTACCTTCATCATATCTTTGCATGTGAATACCTTTTGGAATAGCCATTGATAACATTTGTTTACCAGTCCATAAAGGTTTTGGTTTTAAAATTGTTGGTTGAGGGACAACACCATTCCAACCAGGAATCCAATATAAAATATTCATCATTTGATCATAATCTATAAAACTATCACGTAAAGTCATTTTTCTAACACCTGCTAAAGTATCTTGAACAATACCCATACATGGTTTATTGGATTGTGGAGAGACAATTTGTAAAGGAACTGCAGCAATATTCATTAATTCAGCTCTTGTTTCTTCAGATTGTGGAACGTGTAAATTCATTTCATCACCATCGAAATCCGCATTATAAGGTGAAGTAACTGATAAATTTAATCTAAAAGTTGAGTAAGGCATAACTTTAACACGATGTGCCATCATGGACATTTTATGTAATGAAGGTTGACGATTGAAAAGAACAGGATCATTATCCATTAAATGACGTTCAACTTTCCAACCATATTGTAGTACAATATCACCAGCACGTTTGTTATATCTTAAATCAATACGATCACCTGTATCACGGATAACATATTTAGCACCTGGATGTTCATTTGGACCATTACGAACTAATTCTGTTAATTTATGAATGTTATATGGAGTAACAGTTTCTGGGTAAGTTAAAGTACGAGCAATACTCTTTGGAACACCAACTTGATCTAATTCTAAATTTGGATCACCAGAAATAACTGTACGAGCTGAAAAATCAACACGTTTACCCATTAAATTACCTCTAATACGACCTTCTTTACCTTTTAGACGAGCACGAATAGATTTAATAGGACGACCAGATTTTTGTAAAGCTTGTGGTTGACCTGCAATATCATTATCCATATAAGTGGCAACATGAAATTGTAATAAAGATTCAAACTCATTAATAACATGTTGTGGAGAACCATCCATTTCTAATTTTTGAACATTAATATTAGCCTTCATAATATCAGATAATTTATAAGTTAAATCATCTTCACCTCTTTGTGTATCATTAAAAGAAATTGATGGTCTAACAGGTGGTGGTGGAACTGGTAAAACTGATAGAATTAACCATTCAGGACGTGCATAATCTTCATGAAATCCTAATTTACGACAATCTTCTGGACTTATATGTTTGAAAACTGTTAAAATTTCACTTGCAGTAAGTAAACGTCTTTCAGGTTGTTCATTATCTTCAAGATCTTTACCTTTTCTCCAAGTCCCCCATAATTTTAACCCGTCACGACGAACAGTTGGTTGAGAATTACCACATCCACCTCTTGAAACTGATTGACCAGATTCATCTTCAACTGGATAATTTGGTTCACAAATCATTTTAGTTTTGGATAAGTTCCATACAGCATTAAATCTCTTTTTTGGGTCTTTAATCCTTATAGCTTGTTTGAATAATTCATTTGTTTCATCTAATAAAAGTTTACCACAATGCATACAAACACATTCACAAACTTTTTTAATTTTACTAATAAACCCAATATGGAAAACAGGTTTAGCTAATTCAATATGACCAAAATGACCAGGACATTCATTCATACCTTCACCACAGGTTTGACATTTAAAATTTCTATCAATTGAACCTAATCTTGGATCATTTAACCCACCAACTCTTGGTTTATTTTGTTCATCCATGGTTTCTGGGAATTCAATTTTAGCAACTGAAATAGCACGCTAAATAAATAAGTTAGTACTCTTTTTTTTTTCCAAATCTTTTGGAATGAAAAACTTACAATTTCATCTGGAGATAAAAGACCAAATTGGACCTAAAATAACTTGTTAATAAAACTTGTCTTTAAAAAAACTATTATGATTTTATGTGGAGATTAAAACCTACTTCTTTCACTGTACGCAAAGGCGCACTTGAATAAGGAAACTGAACCATGATTATGTGTAGTTGTTGTTGTATAAGAATCTAATTGAAATAGAAATAATATTTTTTTTTAAAATGTTTTGTTTTGTTTTTTTTGTATTTTTTTGATTTTTTGAATTATATGTATATGAAAAATGAACTTTAATAACTTTTTTTGTTTGATAGTGACGATATATGATAAATTAAATAGTATCCAGTACTTTTATTTAATAAATTTCTTTATAATTTAAAATGCAAAAATAAAAACAATCAGAAAATTTCACCAATATCAGAAAATCTCAAAGAAATATGTCTCTTTTTGAACCTCTTTCAAACTGTACAACAAGCAGTATTCCTAATGATATATATAGGAACTTTAAATAATCAGCAACGTCAATTGAATGAGTGCAATTATAATCTAATAAACTTTTGTTTGTTGACAATAAAACCAATATAAACTCCTATCCAAATGATAACGATAATAAGTTCAATCAATCAAAAAGTTCCTCTTGATAAACCCTTGTTCTTTAAAATTTGAAATAGTATCAGTTTTATGATTTAAATTGATGATATTTTTTGGTTTGTTTTGGTTTAGTTTATTGATTTCTATATGTTTATTTTGCCCCCGTTGATTTTATTTTTCAATTTTCGTCATTTTTTCACAATTTTCCACGAATTTTCAAAACATTGATAAAAAACAATTCGCGAAGATATGATTATGTAATATTTAATATTTTCAGATGTGTTACCCGGAATATTGATGGTATAAACTAATGATAATGATCAATTAAACTACAACTATTCACGTTATTCAGCTATATTATTATACTGTTGTATTGTTATACACTAGTACCCTTATTTGAACATCTTACTGAATGCTTTTTTCTCTTTAGCAATACGTTCTTTTTCAATTTTTTTAACATCATTAATTGAATTAATAATAGCACCATCATTTGGAGAAATTTTTAAAGCTTCTTCAAGATCTGTTAAAGCTGATTCTTCATTTTTGAGGTTTAAATAAGCAACACCACGACGATATAATGCCTTGGTTTGAGATTTTTCATCATTTTTAGATTCAGATTCCAATAATTCCAAAACATTTGTTGAAGATTTAATAGTTTTATTGAAATTCTTAACTTTTAAACCTAATAATGCAACATTTAAATTGACTGAAATTTTCAAATTGTTTAAAGCTTCTATATCTTCAGAGGATAAATCTTCTGGGAAATAATCATCTAAATAACTTAAAGCTTTTGAATATTTTTCAAATGATTTTTCAAAATCTTTTGATTTAAATAAAGTGGTACCAATTTCTTTCAAGTGATTTATAGCTTTGAAAACACTTTTAGAATCTTCAACATCAATATTATCATTATCAGCCAAGATTTCTTCATAAATATCACCAGTACCATCATCTTGTTTTGGTGCAGCAGGTTCAATAACATAATCAGATGGTAATTCACCACAATCTGTAATCTTCACAGGAGACAAAGGTTTATCACCAGAATCCGTTTCAGTTCTTTCCATAGCTCTAATTAATGATTTCCCTTGTAATAATCTACCGAAAACAACATGTTTACCATTTAAATGAGGTGTTGGTACTGTAGTAATGAAAAATTGTGAACCATTTGTATTTGGACCAGCATTAGCCATTGATAATAAGAATGGTTTATCATGTACTAATTTGAAATTTTCATCTTCAAATTTTTCACCATAAATTGATACACCACCAGTACCATTATGATTTGTAAAATCACCACCTTGAAGCATAAAATTTTTAATTATACGATGGAATGTGGAATTTTTATATGATAATTCAATACCTGATTCAGTGGTACCTTTTTCACCTGTAGTTAAAGCTCTGAAATTTTCCACAGTCTTTGGAACAATATCATTGAACTATTGTTGTTGTTAGTAAATCATAATTCATCCCATGCCGTTATGAATGTGTGTTACTTACAAGTTCAAAAATAGCTCTACCTTTTGGTTCATCACCAATTGAGATATCAAAGAAAACTTTTGGACGTGATTCAGTGGACATTATGAGTTAATTGAAGTGTATTTATCTTGTTGATAGTTGGTCAATTGAATATCAAGTGTTGAGGATATTTGAAGATAAAATCAAAATCCATCAAATTCAATCTCGGGATCAAAAAAAAATTGACAGATTATTTTAATTTTCCATAGATTTCTAGAATTGTGAAATATTGAACAAGGAAAGGAAAGGGGAAAGAAAAGAAAGGAAAGAACAATGCTACAATGATTTAAATAACTATGTGTTCAGTTGTATTTGTCCATGTTTAGCTATGTTTTGTTATGTTTTATTGAGTTTCATTATATTGTAATTTATGTACATTTTTGTTCATTTTTATTTACAGGATTAGGACATTATTCAGTAATCATATAATCATAATACCATAATCATATCTCTTTATTCTCATTATTAACAGTCTTTACTCTCTTATCATTTTGATTTTTGGCCCAACAATCTTTAAAAGCTTTCATCTGCTGAATGTTAGTATTGTACGTAGTAGTAATATATATGGTAATACCCACTTCTTCAGTACATTGTCTCCAATCACCTTTATCAGCATGACATAGTTGTAATTTCAAGTTTTCATCTGGTGATTTATTAGTATATACTGTGATCATAATACTAATGATATCAATACCCACCTGCACATCCAGTCTTATTTATTCTTTGATCCCTGATGTTGTTAGTAATGTGATAATATAGTATGATCTAGTATAATACTCACCATTCATCTGGTTCATCATCTATATTTGACATTGTGATGTAATTTAATATAACAGTAGACTATACTACTACAATAATATAATATAATATAACAATAGTGAAATGAGTAGTATTGTAATAACGAGACGAGTTCGGGATTAGCTTTGGTTCGTATAAATTTTAAAGATCGCGATTGATTTCAGCACAATAAGATTTATAACACAAACATCATTCAAATCAACATTATTTTAATCATAAAAGGACTGGTCTCAAAGGCTTAATTTGTAATTTATGAGGAGATAAAATATTAAAATTAGTTCACCACAACCTTTCAATCAAAATAGTTTGAGTAAAAGCAGTATCATGTTTATTGTTACTTGCCACAATTGTTACTAGGATTTTCCAAATTTCTAATGTATCAAGCATTAAGCAGCTATGATAGCCAATAGTTTGAACAGTAGATACCAAAGATTCGAGACTGAGATGTGAGAGTAAAACCATTCTTTATAGTAGTATACTTAAAATTAACAGCACCTGTAGTATAAACAGTAAAGAGGCGAGAGTATTACCATTCGAAAGCTAGCATTCGGCTTCTTCTTCCAGATGCAATCTAATCGCTGCCTGCTCAGTGCTTATGTTTTTTATAATATTCCGAGGAAATGGAATGTTCCGGAATTAAGTAAAGACGATTGTTTACAATTTACAAATTACAATATTTCGTGCTCTTTTTTTTGTTTTATAGGTACCCCTTTTCTTGGTTTAACTTTTGTGACAGCTAGCAAATCATTTGCAACGCTTCCTCATACCTTTCAATGTCACCACTGGGCAGATTTAGCAACACCAACTCTTTTAGATAGTTATTTACCTGATCATTTATATGGTGATTGGTTCCATAGTGTTGGTTTATTAATTGGTGCTGGTTTATTATCTTGGATTGTTGGTAGATTCAATTTTTCAATTGCTCCAGTCTTCTTTATTACTCTTACTGCATCTGTTTATTATAGAGCTTCTATTAAAAAATATAGAGGTGTTGCTAGAGACGGTTTACAAAGAGAATTTACTATTAAACCTGTTGAAAATGATTATGAAACTATGGATTGGTTAAATACATTTTTGTATAAACATTGGATTTATCTTGAACCTTCAGTTTCTCAAATTGTTACTGAACATGTTAATCCAATTTTAGTTTAAATGAAGGTATTCCACCATTTGTTTCAGCAATTTGGATTGATCAATTTACTGCAGGTATTAAACCACCAAGAATTGATTTTGTTAAAACTTTAGATATCCCAAAAGATGATGTTGTTGTTATGGATTGGTCTTTTTCTTTTACTCCTCATGCTACTGCAGATTCAAGTGCTAAACAATTGAAAAATTATGTTAATCAAAGAGTTGTTGTTAAAGCTACACTTTTCGGTATTACAATTCCAGTTGTTGTGGAAAATGTTGCATTTAAAGCTTGGGCAAGAGTTAGAATTAGAATGACCACAAAAATTCCACAATTTGAAACTGTTAATGTTCAAATGATGAAACAACCTCAATTTGATTTTATTTCTAAACTTTAGGTGAATCTATTTTCAATTGGGAAGTTTTATCACACCCAGGTCTTTATCCATTTATTAATGAAATGATTAAAAAATTCGCAGGTCCAATGGTTTTCCAACCATTTTCTTTCCAATTAAATGTCCCACAATTATTATCTGGGCCACCTGATTATACATTGTCAGTTTGAGCTGATCATAGTTAATCAATTTCAGACTCCAAATGTTTTAGAGAATCAATCCAGAGCTTTTAACTTTTCTTCTGATTCATGTGTTATTGCAGTGCGGTCCTCATCAGCAATATCGTTATCAACTCGTGATATAAGTAAAGGTTTGGTTTTCATTACTATTCAATTTTTACATTGTTAATTTCAGATTAAAAGTTATAAAAAGCGTGTATCAAATAAGATATAATTTTGATTGAAAAAGAATTGTCACAGTTTTGGAAATTTATTATGATGATAAAGAATTTTGCTTAAAATTGATCAAGAAAGAAAACAAAAGAGTTATACCAATCAGTGAAGCAGATTTAATAAAAAGATGAATCAGAAACAAAGTTGTGTTGTAACCACATTTATCAGGTCCCCATCCTTTAATTGAACTTAATGTACTAAATATGAATAACATAATCAAATTGAGAAAACCTTTATCAAACTCTGTTATTGTAGGACCAAAGACACCAAAAATTAATGAGACTATATTCCAAATGTAATCTATGTCTTCATTGTCTATTTTGTACATAAATAAACCAGCACCTATAAATAGCAAGATTTGATTCAACAGTCTTATAATCTTGTAGCTCTTCTTTTTGTTCTGATCTTTTAATATTTCATTCATAACCTCTAAACTCGATTTTTTTGGGACATTATTAACAGCACCTTCACCTTCAACTATTGGTGGTTCTTCACCAATTTCTTGATCTTCTGGATGTTCTTGGCCAGCTTCCCTTCTCTTATAATTAAACTTTATCTCAACAGAAATACTTTTTACCTTTTTGAATAAATAAATGACTTCCAGCTTCAAAAACTTTAAACCATCTAATGATTTATTGTAGTATTCTTGGGTAATTACCAGCACCTTATGATTGCAACTATTTAATGAAGACTTGATTGATTCTTGAAAGCGTACTTGCCAGTTTCTTCTAACCACTGGTCTTTGACTTCTGACTTCATCCAGACTTCCAGAATCTCTGTGAACCCACCTTCCAAAACGAAAACCTGATTCTGGATCAGCAGCATATTTGGTGCGTGAGGAATGTAAATCTGTCATGATACCTTTAGGTTTCTTTTGGTAATTTCAAACTATAGATGAATGTCTACAAGTATAATGTCGCAAAATGTTGACGGAATGTCATAAGATGACCTTCTTTTTCATTTCATACAACTACTTGTCATTGTTGAATTTAGTTGGTTTTGTGATTAATATTCATGCACAATTGGTTTTGTGATCCATCCAAATTTCAACTCGGTACTAATTTTTCCAAAATTATAGTATTCCATAGTGATTAACAATTATATAGTATCGACTTAAGATTTTATAAATTATGATGCCGATCTAGAGTATGCTTTTTATTCATGCACGTAGGTACAGGCGATCAACTGCTCATCGTAAATTACAGTGTGATGATTGATCATGTATTGGTAATTTTACCTTGGCGACTCTTTTTTTACGTACCTATTCAAGTGGCTTTTTTTCCTAGAAAGAATAGTTACCAGGGAAACATACCTCAAATTACTGCATACAACAGCGCCAGGAAACAAGTGTACGTACATATTTTGAAAGCTAGTAGTTATAGTAAGTTGTCACTTGTAATTAGTTGTAACTTGTAATGTAGTTGAAACTTGTAACCGTCTTCCTCAATTCTTGATTACCGTAACACCATGTCTGGCGAAAATAAAAGAATCAAAAGATGACGCTAGAACATACATTATGTTAACTAATTACACTGCGCGCGGATCAATAATATTCGAGCGCACCATCTTGGAATTCACGTCAGCTACTTATTTATTATAATTAATTAATTAATTATATATATTATTAATTCTATGATCCTACAGCCTTCAGTTTGGCCGCTACACAATCGCGACTATGACCATTAGATAGCCAGTATACGACTCCCTTCACTTCCCACTACTTAGAACTTTGTAGCTCTTCTTTCTGGCGAGATATAGTGTCTTGAAGTTTGGCCTTTCCAGCCCTCTCATTGGTCAATTAGCGATCTTTTGTTTACTTTTCGTCGGTTTGTTTACTTTTCAGTTTCTTTTTTAATGTTTTTAATTCTTTGTTTACATTTCGTTTTTTTTTCAATTTTAATAGTCCTTCTTTGTTTACATTTCGTTTTTCTATACCATCGTTCTAACGTCTCCTAACCTCCAAGTTCCAACTCAATCATCAGAGGTGTTACCGCTTTACCTACTGATGCTACAACCGTTAAGCTGGGAACACTTTATTGTCTTATTTATCATTTAGGTTTGGTCTGTGTGTATCATATCAAAGTATACTCCTAGATGATGTTTTAGGTCCTTTTCAGTTTTACACCATTCTGGGGGTCAATCATTCAGAAAAACAGGGTTGAGCTTAAAAGGAGAAAGGTCATAATGATTTGAATAAGTTAGTTTGTTGGTAATTGGGAAAGAATCCCATATGTTAAGCACCATTTAACATACTCAAAGTTGGTCCCTGTTGGCATCTGATAAATGATGGAAATACAGATGATATATTACCAGAATGTGATGTTGTCTTCGTCTTCGGCTTACATGAAAAACCTGCTGTTTTGGTGAAGCTGGTTGACCTTTATCGGTTAAATGTGTGTCTTTTGGACGTTGGTATGATTTACTGTAACTTATGATATATTGTGCTGTTTGTTATTTTATGTCACCCATATTTGGTATGCGTTGTTATCATACACTTCAAAGTTTGATACAATGCCATTCAGAAAAAAGGTTTGGACTTTTTAATTTGTTAGTGCTTAAGACCATTCTATTTACAGAAGATCTATAAGCTGTGGAAGCTCATACAGGGAAAACTAGCTCAGATACCCGATAAAGTTGCATGTGGATATTCGTACTACTAGGATGTCAACCTTATTAGGTTTGTGTCATTACGTTGTATGCTTTGAGGTTTCAGCTTTCAGTCAATTACGCTTTAGGTCTGGTCCTTTGCCATTGAACTAAATGAGTGGTAATTTATCGTGGTTAAATGGTTGAAAGTTAATGTTAATTGTTCACTAATCAAGCTTTACAGTCATTGATGTATGAGTTGTGTGGACTGTGCTACAGATTATGTCTTTTAGATACCGGTCGTTACATTTTGTGTCAACTTAACCATTCTACAGGTGTACGCACATTTCCATACCTCACTAAATTCCCACTTGAGATATTTACACGCTCTAATATCACCTTTGGAGACTAATTACTTGGGGCTTCGTATATTCCAATGAAGATGGTCCCTACTTATTTACCTCTTGGTAGAATTATGTGGGGCTAAATATTTACTTGAAGTATGGGTATTAATTGTGTTAGTGCTAAGATGTTGACCGAGTCACTGGACTCATATTTCAGGTGGTCTTCTATTCATGTCATGTTCACATCTCAGGTTATTGTGACAGGTATACAGCAGATATATATATGGTGGGCTTGACCATGACTTGGATTTAATGTTGAAAAGTTGCTCTTCATTGTGTTATTTGCTATTCAGCTATCAATCATATGTGGTAAGTATGAATATCCTATACTTTATATTGCGGTGAATACAAAACTGTATTATATAGTCGGTATTACTTCATATTTGAAATGTTAGATATTTTAGGCTTTCAGCTTTCGGTCAATGCTACCTCAGCCATATGTGGTCATTTGCTATTGAGTCCAAGGTTTGGTTGTTTATTTGAAGCCATGAGTGTTTGATAAATGTTTTAAGGGCGCTCATGAAGGTTGCTAGATAAGTTATTGTATTGGCTGAAGCTTGGAGCGCTTACGTGGCTTACAATAGCGGATTGTTATATGGTGACTGATACCCAATTTAAAAGTTGAAGATCAGTTTGATTTTTCGGTTCTGACTGCCTATGGGTATAAGATCGTTTTGAAGTATATGAGATCTACCTCCATGACTTTACCTCTATGAAAGTTGCCCTATCGTTATATTGACTTCAAGATTCCGGTTTCAGTTAAATATGTGCCCTTTTGGACATTAACAGGTCAAGGGTGTATTTTTTTTTAACTTCAGGTGAGTTAAACTTCAATGCTCAAAGGAATACTTAAAATAACTTAAGTAATTTTACATCTGGTCTGCTAGCTTTTGCTGTTTGAATAACAATTGTTATCGTGGTTTTGTCAATTACAGTGAATATTTGATCCCTTAATTTTTGCGTTATCATCATCGTTAAATTGGATTATAAGCTTTGAAATAAGTTCATAAGCCCTATTTTGATTGAAAGTTATACATCGGTTAGCGATTTTACGGAAAGCTATTGCAGCTGGGTTTAGATAATAAAAATAGAGTTGGTTTTAAATGTGCTGTCACGTTTGTTGTTGATAAATCACAGGCCCCTTTTGCGCTCATCACAAAGCTGTGTATCAATTATACCTTGACTGGAGTTCTTTATGAACGCTAAGAAGCTTATGTGTGAATCACATAAGAGTGATCATGCTATTGTTTTAGGCTATTTAGGTGAAGAGCTAAAGACAATGGTGTTTTTGTTCTACTTTTGCAGGTTCAAATATGAGTTATATGCATTTTTGAAAAATGATTATTTTTTGGTGTGTTATTAAAGTGATTATATTAACTGGTGTGATTATAAACATATTCTTGAATATTGTGTTTGTTTAATTGGCTCTATCTTCATCCTTCAAGGTGTTCCATCCAATTCAGAATAGAACGATGATCGACAGATTTTTTTGAAATTGTGTGAAAGGTGTTGGTTGACACTGATGACTGTTTAGTATTCTCTTCTTTAACATCGAATACGTTGATATTTGGTACCTCTTCATGGAAAATTGAGAAACATGAGTTTGTCTTATTGAATTTGTTCTTACTCAAGTAAATGTGCCGTGAACCTTTAATTCGATCTTCCCATTCACACCATGTGTACTTTATATGATGAGAAAAGTTGAATATCTTGATTTATTTTCCTTTAATTCTAAATTGATCATGGGTTCTTCGATTCCTGTTAATGAATTAGTTTCCAAATGATTCGTCGGAGTTTGAACGACTTTAATATACAGTAATTTGGTAAGTATTGATAAATTAGTACATCATGATACTGACCCTTGAATAATTACAAGAATATTGATATGAATAGAAGTTATTGTTTTGTACTATTGTACTAATTAATTATTTTGATCCCTCTACATCTTATTTGCTGAGAAGCTGAGAAATCGCGATCATTTTTACCACCATTAGGATTAAGAATTAAACCTATACCCTACTTTGTGAGCGAAGCGAGCAACTGAAATCTTTGATTTCATTCATATATAAACCTTGAAATTTAATGATCCTGCAGAAGAATTCAATTTCTATGGGATTAAGATTTTGAGATCGAATGAGAAAAAATAAAAACTTCACGTATTTTTAACGTTATAATATGCGTCAGTGTCTTCAATATTATCATCATTTAAAAAATTTTGTTCATCGAAATGCAATGATTCTTGATAAGACGGTGGTGGAGGATCAACTAAATCATAAGTTGATATACCAGGAATGAAATTGATATGTGCTTTTGAATAAATGTGTTCAACACCAAATTTGATTGTACTATTAGACAAATAAAGAATTTTTTCATTGAGAAATTTTGAATGCTTTAAATTCATGTTATCTATATTATCCTTTTCATCTGTGATTTGTTTTCTCGTTATAGATATGGCTGTATGAGTTTCACTTTCAAAAAAATTAATAAATCCATCAACTTCTTTTAACTCTCCACCAAATGTTAATACGTTGATCAAATTTTCCAACAAAGGCACCAATGGTTGACTATTGGGTCTATATGCTAAACATAATTTCACTTTTTGCTGATAATCTTTCAAAAATCTTTTATGGGAGAGTATAGGTTCTTCACTTTCTCTGAATTTATAATAACTATGATGATCTGGGTCATGATCAGCATTAACGGCTGGTATATTTGGGGTTTTATTTGAAGTTTCCAATGCGTCCTTTTTCACATAATAATCAAGTAGGATATTTGTCAAAGAATCAATCAAATATTGTCTTAAATCTGAGTCTGATTTAATTGATTTGTTTATAGCTGGTCTAAAATAAAAAAATGAACTATAGAAATGATCATGAAGATTGTTTAAATTTAAAGGGTTTGATCTCTCTTTAAAAAACATAAATGGAAACACTTTAACAGGCATTCTATACTTTTCTGAGGCAGATTTTAATTTCCAATTTGAAGTTATTGACCATGGATTCTCAGGATATGATCTCAAAGTTGATGGTTTTGGCTTTATATCTAAAAATGGTATGCTTACTCTGGCTTCTATATCTGATAATACATCTGGACAAGTTATCAATGGCATCTTAACAGTTGACTGTTCGGGTGTTGGGATTAATGGAATAAGTCTATAATTCATTTGATTCTGATATTTATCAATTAATTTTTTCTGACTTTTTGTCCAATAATTATTGTGGGTATTATTGATACCATTATTATTATTTGATCCACTTGAATGCTTTTCTCGCTCTGATTCTTTCACTGGTTGCATACTCATGGATGTATACTGTGAATATATAATGATTACCTTATAAGTTTCATATATTACAACTACTTATATGAATTTCGTAAAAAATTCAACTTCTCTTTTAATTAAATTTCTCTCATAAAAGTCAAAATAGTTTATACGTCTGAAATATTACATAATCATAAAGCTATTCCGACTAATTTACCCCCGATTCTCCCCGACACGTATTTCCCATTTTCGAATTTTGTCCATTTCATTCAAAATTGTGATCTGGCGTAAACAAAATCAACAAACAAAGAACAACAAAGACAACCTCATATCATCTTCAACCATCAATTGAATCAGATCTTGTTGTTCTAATAGTACACTGAACAGATCTCAACAATGGTCAAGATTAATGATATACATAGCACGGCTACTTTTGCCTGGTCAAATGATTCTTTACCAACTTTAGCTACCGGTACTGCTGCTGGTGTAATTGATGATGATTTCTCTTCAAAATCAATACTTTCATTCTATGATTTGGATAACAAAACACCTAAATTACAAGTTGATGCTGATGCAAAATTTCATGATTTAGATTGGTCAAAATCAAACAATTTATTAGCTGGTGCTTTAGAAAATGGTAATATTCAATTTTGGAATACTGAAAATCTTCAAAGTCAAAATAATGTTACTTCAATTGCAAAAGGTGAAAAACATTCAGGTCAAATTAAATCTTTGCAATTTAATCCTATTCAAAATAATATTTTGGCTTCTGGTGGTGCTAATAGTGAAATTTTCATTTGGGATACAAATAAAATTACAAATTTAAGTCCTTTCATTCCAGGTACTGCAATGACACCAATGGACACAGTACAATCTGTTTCATGGAATAATTCGGTTAGTCATATCTTTGCATCTGCTGGTAGTGCTGGTTATACTTCCATTTGGGATTTAAAAGCTAAAAAAGAAGTTTTACATTTATCTTATACTGAAAATTCAGGTTCCAAAGCAAATTTATCTGTTGTTTCATGGCATCCAACTCAAAGCACAAAATTAATTACAGCTTCTGAAAGTGATGGTGCTCCATTATTATTAACTTGGGATTTAAGAAATTCAAATGCTCCAGAACGTATATTATCAGGTCACAAGAAGGGAATTTTATCTGTTGATTGGAATAAGAAAGATCCAAATTTCCTTTTATCAAGTGGTAAAGATAATACTACAATCTTATGGAATCCAATTACCGGTGATAAATTAGCTCAATATCCAACTACTGCAAATTGGGTTTTCAAAACAAGATTTGCCCCAGAATCACCAGATATTTTCGCAAGTGCAAGTTTTGATAAAAAAATTGTTGTACAAACTTTACAAGATACTTCACCTCCAGTATCCAAAAGAATTAATTCAACTAATGAAAATGATTTTTGGAATCAAATTTCTGATACTGATACTCAACAACCTGAATATTTTATTAAACAAGCTCCAAATTGGTATGGTAGTCCAAGTGCTGTTAGTTTTGGATTTGGTGGTAAAGTAGTTTCATTATCTAAAACTGGTGAAAAATCATCTGAAGTTAAAATTACAAAATTTAAACCTGATGGGTTTAAAGATAATGATTCATTGAAGACTGCATTAGAATCTGGAGACTTTAAATCTTTAATTGATGAAAATTTATCTAAATCTTTTGATGATATAAATAAATCTGATTGGGAATTATTAAATGAATTAGATGGTCAAAGTAATGTATTTGATAAATTCATTTCATTAAACATTTCAGATGATGAAACAACAACAGAATCCAGAACAAATGGTGATGCTACAAAAGATGCATCAAATGATGAAGATTTTTTCCAAAATTTGGGTGAATCAAAACCATCAAATGAATATTTACCATCTGGTGAATTTAATTTAATTGATCAAGATTCAAATTTAAAAAAATTATCAGATGCATTATTATCCAAAAATTTATCAAAAGCTATTGATATTTCATTATCAAATGATCAATTAATCGAAGCTTTAATCATTGCATTGAATGGTTCTGATGATTTGAAAAATAAAGTAAAAAATGCTTATTTCAATAAATACGCTTCACAAACTCCAATTGCTCGTTTATTATACAGTGTTTCATCAAATAATATTAATGATCTTGTTGAAAATGGTAATGTTTCAAATTGGAAAGAAATTGCCAATTCAATCAAAAATTATTCACAAGGTAATGATGAAGTTTTGAAAAAACAATTTATAAAATTAGGTGATCGTATTTATAAATCTGATCCAATCAAAAATCGTAACGATGCTATTAAGACATATATCTCTGCATCTGCTTTAGATAAAGTTGCAGAAATTTGGGTTAGTGAATTGAAAACTTTAGAATCAAAAATTTTATCAAACTCCAAGAAATCTCCATATGATGCTCATTTCCAAGTTTTAAATGAATTTGTTGAAAAATTCAGTGCTTATAGATCAAATTTAAAATTAGATGCTCCAGTAACTAATAATGAATCATTATTGTCAACAATCTTGGAATATACCAGTATTATTTCATCATCAGGTCAATTTGAATTAGCTAATAAATTTTTAAATTTATTATCAAATGATATTCCAGCTGTTAAATTAGAAAAAGAACGTATTGCTAAAGCTTCAGGTATTGGTTCTCGTGCGACAACTACTACTACAAATACAAGAACATCACGTTTAGCTCCAAATAATCCATATGTTGCTCAACAACCTAATATTCCAAATGCTGCTACTTCAGCTTATGGTTTACCAGTTCCAAATGTTCCAGCTCCAGTTAATCAATCACCATATGCACCATTTGCTCAACCAAATTTAAGTACACCATCTTCAAATCCATATAGACCAGCTGTTGGTGCTCCTGGTCCTGTTGCTCTTGGTAGTGCTGCTACAACTGCTGCTGCTTCAATTGCCTCAAATCCTTATAAACCAGCTGTACCAACTCCATCAGCTTCAGGATTTAATCCATATAGACCAAATGATTTATCAGCTAATGTTGCTCCTGGTAATCCATCTTCAGCAATCCCACCACCACCAAAAGCACCAACTAAAAAGAATGAAACTGAAGGTTGGAATGATTTACCATCAACTTTCCAAACTCAAACTCGTCGTTCAACTCCTGCTGCTCCTGCTGCAGTTGCTGCTCCTGTTCAATTACCACAACCAAATGTTAGTACACCTCAACCACCATCATTGAGTCGTAATCAATCATTTGTTAATGCACCAAGTATCCCACCTCCACCAAGATCAGTTTCCAAGAGTAGAAAATCAAGTGCACAAGTTGAAACTCCTGCTCCAACTCAACCAAATACTCGTTATACACCAACTCAACAACCTGCAAATGTTTTCAGTCCAAATTTATCAAATAATCAATCTGGTGCTCCACCTCCACCACCTGCTGCTGCTGCTCCATCAAATCCATATGCTCCAAGTGCTAATACTGCACCAGCTCCATCAAACCCATATGCTCCACCACCACCTGCTTCTGGTCCACCTGCTGCTAACCCATATGCTGTTCCACCTCCACCAATCGGTGCTGGTATTCAAGCACCATCTGCACCAAGTCCTTATGCACCACCTCCACAAATTGCTGGTCCACCACAAGTACCAAAACCTAATCCATATGCCCCAAGTGCCAATGCAACTCCACAAGTATCATCACCATTCCCTGTTGCACCACCAAGTGTTGGTCCTCCTTTAACTGCTGCTGCTCAACTTCAACAACAACAACAACAATTCCAAGGTCCTCCACAAGTTTCAAGTCAAGCTCCACCAATTGCTCCACCTAAAAGTGAACCACCAAAATCAAAATATCCATCAGGGGATCGCTCACATATTCCAGAAGGATCATTAAATATTTATAAAAAATTAGATGAACAATTTAATTTAATTAAACCAAATGTTCCAGAAAAATATGGTAAACAAGTTATTGATACAGAAAAAAGATTAAATATCTTGTTTGATCATTTAAATAATGAAGATTTATTAACATCACCAACTATTAATAAATTAAATAGTTTAGTTGATTCATTAAGTTCAAAAGATTATCAAACTGCTTTAAATACTCATGTTGATTTATTAACTAATCATAGTAATGAAGGTGGTAATTGGTTAGTTGGTATTAAACGTTTGATTCAATTTGCTGAAGCATTAAATTAGGACACTTTATTGGTTGATACTTTTGTTAGATAAAGGTTTCATTTATTAAAATTGTGATATATAAAGATTTTTATCTTTAAAAAGAATTTAAGAGTTTAAAAGAAAAAAGAAAAAAAAAGTTTTGTATAATTTTGTTTAAATTAATATTATGAAGATCTGTTAAATAAAGAAAAAATATTGTATCAAATCTTCTAGAATTATCCGCATATGTAAAAATGTCATTAAATATGTTATTACCAACTCCATTACCGATATATGGC